CATCAGTGTTTTGGCTACTGCTTACACAGTGTCAAGTTCTGCTCCATTCTCCACTCTGTACCCCTGTCTGTGTCTGTTACACACTGTGCTGCCCATGTACATCTGTATTCTAGACTGCATCTGTTCTGGTTGAATAAAATCCCAGTGTCACAGCTGCCTTATCATTTTACATTAGTCAGCCTGCAGATCCCTAAGCAATGAAACAGTGCAAGAAATTAAAAGTTTATATTTTGGAGTCAGTAGTGAACTTGAAAAGAATCCATGTCATTAGATATTATTTTGCAGTTCACTACCATAACAAAGTTCAGCAATAAAAAAGTTAATTCTGTATGTTATAGCTTCATTCAAGGAGTGTCACTTCCAATTAAAAAGCAAAAGAAAGGGGATGGTGACCACCAAAATTGGGGTGAAACCAGATAATTATTTTTGCACACTTACAAATCCCAAAGAAAAAACTTGGCATATGGTCCTAGTGTTAAGTAATGGACAGGGCTTTTTGGGCATCCATTGGCCATGCTTTAAAACCTTCCAGGGGTATCAGAACAAACACAGCAATAATCCAGGTCTAATGCAATGAAAACCATGAAATTTAGAAACCCTGTGTAAACATGGTCTCCCTGCAACTATAAAAAAAGAAGAAATTAGGCTTATATTATCTTCAAAATAATCTTGAAAACACTACAGTCTGTTCATATCAGGAATTTGTAACATAAATAAAAATTATTTCCTTAACTTTCTAATCAAAACCAGATATGAGAAAGTCAGTAATTGTCAGTGACTAAAAAGCTGATGTGTCTTTCCAAATCTCATCATCCTCCTATAGCAATCATACTATTTGTCATGCTTAACTATTATCTAAGTTTATAAACATGGCAATATGATTAGACACTGGAAGAGAGGTTTGTCTTCTATTTATCACAAGACTCAAATTGCTGCTGACAGACCTGGCCTAAGAAAATTGACTGTAGCTTTCCAGGATGGCTGATTGGAATACAATTTGGAAAGAAAACTATTTGCCTCCAGAAACAAATGCTGTGTTATGAAACTCTTGGATCACTGGCCAAGACTGACCTGGCCAACCATCACAAAGCACCAAACCAGCCATCAGCACTCAGCAGAAGCTACCAGCTGCATTTGCCACAGTGCCTCAGGCTGGAATCACACCCTATAAATAAAATGCTCTCCATAAAGAAGAGTGCAGTTAAAATGATGAGCTCATATCAGGGCAATCAGGGTCCCTTTTGTCCTATTTTCTTTTCTTTTTTTGTTAAACCTCGTAACACTAGCCCTCAACAGCATATGTGCTGGCAGCAGATCACACAAGAGCCTCTCTTAGCTGTATGGACCTTCCTGAGGTTTGAACCAAAGGAGGAGGAGAAGGAGGCACCATACTTATTGCAGGAAACAGACAGAGTTGGATATGGCAGCTAATTTCTAACTACCCAGGGGGACTAGTGGACCCTCAGGACTACTGGACTTACAGGACCAGTGTGGTATTCTCTGCAAGACCAACTAAAACATGTACTATGTGCAAGGCTCTTAACAAAGGGACAAATGGCTGCAGCTCCAGGAACGGAGCACTATCACACAAGGAAATGTCCTTGTACTCCTCACATCCTCCTTCTCACAATTGCTTCCTTCAATCTGCTAAACTCATTTAGGGACCAACTGGCTTGGCTCTGAGGGCTGGATTTGTCACTTAGGCTATCTTTTGAAGCACTCCAATCTAGGCTACAGAAGGAAAGAAAACTGATCATGCCAAACTGGAGAAATACTCTCCAGTTGCACAGACAGTTTAAATGAGCTATACAACACGAGGTTTCCAAACTGCAGAACAGAAATAACTGCAGGTAAGATAACTGCATGATAACAGTGGATGGTTGACACCCAGACCTTCTATCTTGGCTTTCATATATTACTATATACTAAAATCTTAAATCTAAGTCTTTTCACTCTGTGAGATCACACGTTTAATTAATTACACACCCATAATCCCAGTGTTATTAATCAATTTTGGAAGCCTTCTCTACAGTCTTAGGTCAAATGCAGTGTTCTCTTGTGGGTCTGTGCCTTTCAGCACAGAAAGTTTAAAATTCTTAGTATCTAGGGTTCCAACAAGACCGACCTTGCAGATCCTGGGGAGGCACTGATTTGGGGTCTCTCTTTGCAGAGCATCTTCCACACATAAGGTTGGTTCCCACAAAGTAAAAATCCCTTCCTTAAAGTTATTTAAATACTTTTGTGTTCCACATGAGGAGAATGGTATCAGCAATTGCTCTTGAAAGATGGCAGTAAGTATAAAACATGAATAATACAACACACAGGAACTCACTGGTATATGTACTGACTTCTGCTATTTCAATGCTGGTGTTTATTGCAGATTAAAGTAATTGGAGAAAAAATAGCACGATAGAGAAACAGATGAGAGGAGAATACAATAACAACACAGGGAACAACAGTTCAGCATTTAAAATCATGGGATAAGCTCTCAAATTAAACTGAAATTAAGAGGAATTCACCTCTTTGTTAGCTTTGTCAGTTCGCATTAGCAACAATCTTTTATAAAGCAGCTGAGAAATATCTGCCTCACATACAAAGTTTGTCAAAGCTGTTGTGATTGGAGAGTCACTTTTACCATTCCATCCAACAGGGATTATCCACTGAAAATTATATGTAAATTTAAGAGAATGCTATCAATGAAAAGCAGTTGAGATACTATATACACCTGATAACTTTGAAAGATCTGATGACAGGAGATAACTCCATTTTTGAGTCAAAGTCATACAATTTCATGGAAAGTTTCATGGAGATAATGATTAGTAATGCATTATAAGAACTAATTAAAACCAAAATTTCAAGAAAATAAACCTTAAGTTATCCTTTCCTCCAGAAAAATAGATTTGTTCTTCATTATACTTCCAAATTAATACAGTATTTCTTTCTAGGAAAAGAACTAATGTATCAAAAAAATATTTCAAAAACTCTCAACAGAGGCAGTTTATTTATAGTAGTTTACAGCCTTTAAAAATAATCAGTAGAACCTCAAGATTTTCTTGGTCACAATAAATAGTTGTCTATGAAAATTAAATCCAAAACATACTGCAATAGTTAGAACAGAATATCTGACAATCACTGCCTAACTAAAACATGGTACCAATCTCAAGAATACCTGTAATTGTAATGTCCCAGTCTACACATAGAAGGCTACTATTATGGAGGTCCACTGTGACTCTTTCCCTCCTTTTTTTTATTGCAAGTGATTCAGAACAGTCTGCATAAAGTGAGACACAGCAGAACACAGTACAGCAGAGAACAAATGAGCTTCTGTTCCCCCAATGCACCTTTTTTCATAAAACTTTGTTTGTTGATAGGGAAGAGAATTTCACATTGTCTGTAATATTCTTTGTGAGGACTTGGCATTTGCACAGTAAACAAGATTAAATTTGTGAGGGAAAAGGTAAAAAAATTAAATTTCAAGCCTACCAATCAAACAATTCTTAATTTTGCCATTGCTTTATAACAATAAGAAAAGATAAAGAGATGATCCTAGGAGGGAAAAATTGTTTAGGTCAGGCCATAGAGAGTACATAAGGGCTTAAACTAAACACTGGCAAAAATAACTAACCTTCCTAAATATAATGTAATGTAATAAATTATTTCACTTACTAGAATGTCTTTGATTTACTGGAGTGCTAATATTCTGCAGAGACAACTAATTAAAAGTAGAAATCCTCAAATGGGAAGTTTTTAATTGTTACTGAACCCTCTTCAGCAGTTATCTCATACTCATCACACTGACAAAACAACAGATTCTGTCCTTATCTAAAAAAACAAAGTTTTCTTTTACAGGACAGATATCCTAAAAATGTATTGCATTTGCATCTTGTATAAGAGGTAGCAGTCTGGAGCTGGCTGCCAATCCACTTCAGGCAGACTCAAAACCCCCTGCTGAAGTCTCGGCCGTGTGAGCGGAGCACAGGAGAGCAGGGAGCCCCCGGCAGCGCCCTGACTCCAGCAAGGCTGCAGCTCACACTGAAGCCTCGTGCAACTCAAGAGGGAGCTTCAGAAAACCAAGCTGATTTTTCTTATCATTTGCCACCTCTGACTCATGCAGACATGCAAGATGCTTCTTCATGTGTGCCCCTGAAGGGCAAGGCAGCCTGCCCTCTTCGCAACAATTCAGAAGAGTGAGGTGTTTCTCCAGGGCAAACATTTCACTAGGCTGCCATGCAACTGGGGCACATGTGCTGAAGCCTTTGACTAGCTTCTACTAAAAACCCAAAAGCCTGCCAACAAGCACAAAAAACATGTGTTTCATGTTCACAATGAGGGGAATGGTTTGTAGCATCTTTGTTAGGCAGGGAGATCTCACTCTCCTGCAGGAGACCACAGGTGCAGTAGCTATAACCTGTCCGGGTGCCTCAGGGTGCCATGGGGGCTCCTGTGGCTGCAGGAGCTGGGGGGAAGCAGGGACACACTGTCTGATGCCAGATACAGAGTACCTGATGCTTATCAAAGACACAGGAAGTAGATTCCATGGACTCAAAACTGTCAATTTTTTGGAGACATTTAGGGTACGACATTGAATCACAGAGAGTAACAGATGGACACTACCTTATATCAGTACAGACTCCCTAAAATGACTGAAAAGAATCTATCTTACACTTGTGCTTTGCTGTCTTCCATACTAGAAAGCAGGAGGGATGTCCTCCAGCACTAGTACAGTGGCATTCTTACACATTATACATCTGGCATTCTTGCCTTGGGGATTCTATTTGCCATTAAGGCTACCTGGTCTGCATTCCTCCTACCTGACAAAGTAGACCAGAGCTTTACAGCAAAGAAAACCTAACCATTATAATAGAAAAAGTAACAGATCTAGCTGATGTGTTTTGTATAACAATATTTTTAGAAAATGTAAAAATTTCAGATTAGTCACAACAGCCATACTATTTTGGTTTTTTGAGATGAAAAGTACAACAAAAATGGTAGAAACTGACCTCTTAGTGCCAAACATGATGGTGCGGGCTTGTTTCACATTTATGAATGCAGTGCTCTGCACAGGCTGCTTATATTGACCTAGATGAGAAGAAAAAGAGATATTTTTAAATCAAGAAACTCAGAACCTTGATTTTAATATCCTGAAAAATAAATACACATTATAAACGTCTTCAAGTGAAACTTCAGAGAATAGCTGGCAATTTTACAGAAATAAAAAGGTTAGCAAAAGTATGCAAAGGCTAAGAAACATGAGATAAAAGTTTAAAAAAACCCCTAAGACTAAATCCTCCTAGTAGGGCTTAAACCTGACATTATTAGAGCAGTTACTCAACAAGAGTTAGGCATAATACTATATGATAGTACAACATCTAAAAGTCCTTGCTTCTTACAGTGAAATTCATGTGCCCAAGCAAAATGCATGTGCTTCAAAGTAGCTAAACAGGTCTTTCTGAATTTCCAGTCTGAACAAAGCTATATAAATTTATATCTTAACTGTGTTTTGATGCTCAATTTTTTGAATTACTATCTCAGTAAATTAGTAATTTTTTCAGAAAGAAAACATTATTATAAATAAGAAATTTCATAGTGTGGGTCTACTTAATACAAGCCTCAGGAAATATCATTATTACTATTACTATTACCATTACTATTACAAAGAGAAATTCCCACTTTTACATAAAAATATGAGATTACAGAATATTAGAATAATTAGGTCAGGAGAAAGTGCCTAGTCCAGCCTTCAGCTCAAGGCAAGTATAATTGGATCATTTTGCTCAGGGGTGTGTCAGCCTGGGTCTTGAACATGCCCACAACCTCTTCTGGAAACCAGTTCTCGTACCTCATCACCACCATGGTAAAAAATTTTTTTCTAACAACTAACCAGACTTTTCCATATTATACCCTATATCTACTGCCATATACTCTTATATATCATATATACTCTTATATATCATATATACTCATATATCATGTGTCTACTGCCCCTTATCATACCTCCAAGAAAAATCTAGCTCTATCTCCTCTACACCCTTCACTCAGGTACTTGTTGACAGTACTAAGGTGGTCTCTTGTCATCTCTTCTGACCCTGAGTTGATTCAGTTCTCTCAGCCTTCTCTTGAATGCCATTTGCTACAGTCCCCTGGCCGGCTCATTTGGTCTCCATAAGCTGACATCCTTCTCTTTCTGGGGAGCCCAAACTGGACATAGTGCTCCACAGTCAGTCTCACAAATACCAAGTGGAAGGCAAGGATCTTCCCCTGACCTGCTGGCTAAGCTTTTGCCCAAGCAGCCAAGGGAAACAGGTGACTTTCTTTGCTGTAAGGGCACACTGCTGGTTCTCATGTAAATTGCAGTTCACTGGGCCCCTCAGACCCCTTTCTGTACCCCTGCCTCCCAGGCATTTGATGAAATGCATCCAAGCCCATCCTTTTACACAAGGTTGTTCCACCCCACTGGCAAAACCTTGCACACGCTTTTACTGAAGATTCCTGTAAGATTCCTGCCAGCTCATTTCTTCAGCCTGCACAGGACCCCTTCAGTGGCAGCACTGCCCTCCAGCAGCTCCTTCCCCAGGCAAGGCAGTGCCTCACTCAGTGTGGGGGTCCCCAGGAGAGGCCCCTGGGGCTCTGCACCCCACACAGGCCAGTATCAGCCTCCCTTGTGACCCAAGTCAAGGGCTCCAACATGCAAAGGGCTTTAGCACCTGTCTGTGACAGGGAATGTGCCCTGTGGGGTGCTGAGGCCACCCCTGCACCCCCTCCACACTACTGCAGGCAAGTGTGAGCAGAAATGCTGTGTGTCTCTGCTGTGCTGACTGCTGGGACAAGGTTGATACTGCTGCTCCCCAAGAGCTTCACCCTCCCAAAGCAGGATTCAGCCATTCCCAGGAGCAGCCAGAAGCAGCTCCCAGCAGAACTGAAAGCAGAGACTCAAAATTCTGCACAAACTGGGAAGAGCAACCATGATGAGAAGCCCAGGCAGTGCTCTGGATGCCCTGCATCCTCCCAGCTCCTCAAATCAAGCCACTTTTGCAACACCTGTTCACAGCACTCTGGTCCACCATTGCCTAAGGAGCAGCTAAGTAGCACCTGGAAAGTGCAGGCATGTGCCAGCCCTGCCAGCCTGAAGCTTCTGCCACCAGATCCTTCCCACGAGAACGCAGCAGCTCCCAGCCCTGGTTCACCTCCCTTGTGATTGCCACTGCACTCACCCACTGCCCTCACAGGGCGTAGTATTGATGCTAGTGCAACCTTTCTGCCCTTCTCTCAAATGTTCCGTTTAAAGCAAAAATAGCTGGCAAATTCAGACATTTTATCCTAGTTTAGTTGATTTGTTAAATGTAAATGTAATATCTAAACACAAAAGTTTTGTCCATCAGGAAGAAGCTGCGATTACATGATCTTGACTGACAGGAGAATTTTTGTCTACAAACTGCCTTCTAAATTTGTAAGATGCTCTGGGGGACTTCACGTCTCCATGTCAGATCAGATAAAATGACACCAGGTGAAATGGCCTGTTACTTCCAGATGAGGAAGCAGCATTTTCACAGCACTATATTTCATTATGGGTTGAGGCAATGACATTTTTGTCTCAATTTACCAGCTGCTCTTAAAGCATTTTCTTTCTTGGTTTGTGTAGGGTTTTGGTTTTTTTTTTGTTTGTTTGTTTCAGTGTGTCTCCTTAACTTGTACAGCTGCAACGAGTTGAAGGGAACCTCCTTCTTCCTTTCCATGCCCTCTTGTTCCAGAATCACAGCCTTGCAGCTGGGCAAGAAGCACAAGTATCATCAGCCTGAAGTACATTTTCCTTCCCATGCAATTATTGTCCCTGCCACTTACTAACACCAGTCCCTCTATACTGAGAGCATAACAAATGCCTGCTTCCAGTTATTTGTCTTGATTGGAAATTTCTGAAGGCTTTAAGTAGGCCAAGTGCCCACTCCAACTGAAAATCAATGGTTTTGGGGCATGTACACTCCCAGCATGTTCTGAGAAGTCACAGTCCAGTTCCCTATTTGTGATTGTCAGGCTAACCAGAAGCTATGCCTGTACTGTCAGATATGCAGCTCAGAGATGAAACATGATGAGATTAAGGATTGCAACTCAGCCTCTGCCCCAGTGCACGTATTAAGTGTCTCAAGCCGTTCAGACAATTGATTATACAACATGGAGCCTAAATGTGTAAATGTGCTAAGAGATCTGAGTCAGGCTTTCCATTTTGCTTAGAAATAACAAAGTTCAAACTCAAGAATCCAATTTTCAGAGGTATTTAAGTTGTGACCTAGAAGTCCAGCTCCCATATTTAAAAATGGCACAGTTGCTTGTGATCCCGTGAGCATCAGTGGAACTTTGACATGGAAAATTTTAAGCCAAATTTATTCAATCATTTGATGATCTTTTCCATTTCCAGTAAAGAACATAATTCATAAACATCTTACATTAGTAGGCAGGACTGCCTTTATGTCTGCAAGAACTTTAACTGAAGGGCTCTGGTGCTTTCTGTCTCTTTTTGGATATAAATGAAAATGTTAAGGATTGACATAAGGTACTGAAGATCTCAGGAAACAGGACTATTTGAGGGAAACCAACAGGTATAAAATTGATGAGTAGCTGAAGCAGGTTCCCTTCCCCTAAAGGTGAGTGGTGAAGAAGTTGGAAGAGAAATGTTTCCCACAGCATTTCTCTGGCTTATTGAGGGGACCTGTGTCAACTGCTGCCTTTCAGCTGAATCTACTCCCTCTCTGGTGGAAGGTACTGTCCTTAGGGCAAAGTGGCACAACAGCCTTGGAAAACCACCCTCACTTTCCTGTGAACAGTCACTTTGCATGGAAGCAGATGTGAAATATCATTTATCTGCTTGGAGATAAATTCTGAAAGCTATAACTTAACAGCAATAATGATTTCTAAAATGTCTTAAAGAGGCTATTAAAACTGGCACAAAATCTCAGCAAACCTTTTCATTTACACCAGATATATTTAAGCATAATTTACAGAGATTCACTCTGACTGCTTAAAGCCATGAAAATCTGAGCACAAGGATCAAGAATAAAAATATTTTCAGTTAAGAAACAATTGTATTATAGCAAAAAATATGGCAAAGGATGTTAATACAGAATTACACAAGAGGATCTTTGTCAAAGGCGTGGAGAAGGCGATGGAATGCACAACCATCCAGTTTGCAGATGGCCTCAAATTAGGGGAGATCAGTTTATATGGTCATAATCACACAGAATCACACACAGAATCACTAGGTTGGAAGAGACCTTCAAGATCATCAAGGCCAACCCAGCCCTAACACCTCAACTAAACCATGGCACTGAGTGTCACATCCAGTCTGTTTTTAAACACATCCAGGGATGGCAACTCCACCACCTCCCCAGGCAGGGGGAGAACTTTAGTCCAGAAGTCTAAAGTCCAGAAGTTCTAAAGTCTTTATCACTCTTTCCATAAAAAACTTTTTCCTAATATCCAATCTATATTTCCCCGGGTGCAGCTTAAGAACAGGACAGGGCTGCCACCCAGGGAGTGTTGGACAGGCTAGAGGCATGACAGGGTTCTCATGAAATTCAGCAAGGACAGATACAAAGCCCTGTATTTAGGAAGAGAGAAACTCTTGCAATGCCATAGGCATGGCACTGCCTGGCTGGAAGGGCAGCAAACTGAGCATGAGTCAGCAGTGTGTTCAGGCAGAGAGATGGTAAACAGCATTCCAGACTTTATTAGCAGGAACGTGGCCAGCAGACAGAGGGGAGGGATCATACTGCTTTATTAAAATGTCATCAGACCCTTCCTGAAGTACTGCATCCAGTTCTGCATGCTGCCCTTGAAGCAAGAAGGACTCTGATAAACTGGAGCAAGTTCAGGTGAGCACTGAACCTCATGTCCTAGAGAGGTTCTGCAGCCTTGCTCATTCGAGTGTCTCAAAACTTATTTCAATAAAGCTCTGAACAACCTGGACTGACCTCACAGCTGACCTTGCTCTGGGCAGGAGGATGGGCTAGAATCCTTCAGAGGTCCCTTCCAAATTGAGTTATCCTGTGATGCTACAAGTCTAGGTATAAAGAAGGGAAAACATAGAA